GAAACTGGAATTTATGAACAGGGATCATATTCATATACAGGTTCGGGGTTGGTGTATCTTATTTATATTGTTTGCGAAGATGTATTCTCGCCATTTAAATCATTAACCTCTATATTTGTTTTTTGTATGAATGATTCCGAATTTTTATATATATATATATATATATATATATATATATATATATATATATATATATTCTTAGAGGTAAAAGTGAAATTCTGAAGGATTTTGTCCCAAAATAAAATTGCCAAATTTTATTCGTAATGAAAAGGTTCCATGTAATTTTTCCAAGACCGACTGGTAGATTTCATCTTGATTTAATATTTGAGAAAACCTGTAAGACTGATGATTGTTCTTGGAAGATTGACGTCTATTGATCAAAAGGAATATTTCTCAGATTGGGTCGGCCGAAATGCCACGTGTCAAATTTTGTAGACATCCTTTTAAGCCAGCTTCTTCATCCCCGCCCCCGCTTACAAGTTCTGTCAGGCACTGAAGAACAGCATTTAATTCTTCGCCTGATGTTTCCTATTCTCGCAGATCTATGGTAATGGACTTTCGTTTGGTACTGACGAACTTACTTCGATAAACGGACAGGGGAAGCAATTACTGGTAGGCTTTGTTTCTTGATAATATTATTTCGCATTAAAGCTGAAAGTGTCTGGCTGTTATCACGCTGAATCAAGTGGCAGTAAGTCACCACAAATCAGTATTTACTAACTTTTCCACTTAGGTAGGGTGTGAGACGAGGTCAGGTTTAATGTTGTGTGTCAAAATTAACCATGTTCAAGATGGCGTTGGTATCTACCAAACCGGAACTACTTTGGAACAAGGGTCGGCAACCCTCGCATCCGGCTCGTGAAGCATATTTGTCCGGTTAACAACTGGACACAAATTATCTTTTTTTTTTTTTAAGCTTTTCACCCCAAGCAAGGCGGGAGTGCCAGTAACACGCAAGGGGTTACAGAGAGTGGGAGCAAGAGTAAAGAGACGTGATAGAGGAAAGGATAAAGAGAAGGACGGGAAAATTAGATCAAGGCATCTGGAGATGTTGATTAACATTGCATTTGAATAGTTTGAGATTATAGCCACCAAGGAAGCAAGTAAGAGGAAGGGAGTTACACAGACGGGAAGTGCAAGATATATTGCAGTAGATGAGACGGATACAGTTAACCGTTTCGACAGTGAAAGGGTGGAATTGAGATGCCGACTTGTAGCATGTTTAAATTCATGCATTTTGGAACTAGCGAAAATAGCTCGTCGGAGCAGTTACTGTGAAATTATTTTTAGAAAAGACAGAGGGAGGCGACGGCACAGTCTGTGAGAGAGCGACTGTAAACGAGATGCTTCAGAGTTCTAACCATGTTTCAAAAATGTAAGCTAAAAGCTTCGAATTTAATTTTGTAATTAAATTAAAGACATTAGTTCCATTTCATCTACATGAATCATTCATACAAAAACTGATAAAATAACTGATCCGACGTGCAACTTTCGGATAATAATTGTGACATTCCTGTAATTATTGAACAATATAGTTCATGCCACATTGACTGAAAAACCTACCAGTACAAAAGAATTCTCCTATTACCATATTAGTACAAAAACGCACAATCTTAAAATGTAAAAATTCAACCTCAGCGTTGCGACCGCACACTCCAAAATTTCTTACAATTAACAATAACACATTTCTAAAAACATATTTCGGATTACATCTATTTTTTCGTTGTCCTGTTATTACCGGCATGTAAAAAACAAATCTATTTTCATACCTGATGATGTCTGTATGCACAGATGAAAGCTTGTAAAAAAATAAAAAAAGACCTTATGCAACTGGAATTTATAAACAGGGATCATAACATTCACCTACAGGTTCGGGGTTAATGTATTTTATTAAATTTGTTTGCGAATATGGATTCTCGCCATTTATATCATTAACTTCTATATCTGTTTTTTTGTATGAATGATTCATGCAATGTAAATTGAACTGCACCACATACTTGATATATATATATATATATATATATATATATATATATATATATATATATATATTTCACTGCCTGAAGTATTAAGAGAATTTTCATTTTGCATAATTCTGCATGAGAATTTCATTTGCATAACAACGAACGACTCTGGTCAAAGGTTAACTGAAAAACTCTGTGAACTAATACGGTCTCTTTTATAACCGAGAAAGCGGCCCAGAAAATACTACTTTTATGATATAAGCTGGTAGGTGGCCCCTTTAATAGTATCATCAATTTAAGCCGCCCTTGCGTATCGCTTTGAAACGCTTAAAAATATCTTTCTTTTATTTTACAATGAATAAATGCAAAAGAAAGACGTGGTCGATCTTCCTGTTACCCGCTACCTATAAAAGAATCAGTTCAGGCCAAAAATGGAGCACCATATAAGGGCAGGAGCTGCCCAGTTTTCATTTTCCACTCCCGATCAAGTGTAAAATCCTCTCCGCGTTCTTGTGAGGGATTAATTATTTGCTTCCTACGACTCCTATGTGCATCTATAAAAATAAAGCGCAGTGTACGTATGTCCGTCCGTCCGTCTGTTTTTCGATCTCGGCGTATCAGAAACAACCTGAAGTAACTACTACAGTTACGCGCGATTAAGAATTAAATAAATAACTCATTTGAAGGTTAGTTTAATTATCGAACGGAGTGAAAGGTTTTAAAAAACAATTCTTTATTATTTTCGACCCTTTCCCCACAGACGAAACCTCGCAAGCCTCTTGTGGCTGTATCGCTCTTTCCACGGATAGTGCTCAGACGAACTATATTCCTTCGTTTCACCAGTTCTGACCCCCAGGGCTAAGACCCACCATGCCACGCCCATTGTAAGGAACCGCTTCATTTCCAAATGTATTCAATTGCTGAGATCTAAGATCTACTCGAACAGTTTATTCCCATGAACCGTTATACGGAACCAACGCCCAAGAGGATGCTCCCCCATCACTATAATTTTAATATGTTCAAATCTAGGGTTAACCGTTAACTTCTCCATATATCATCATACTGTCCTTGTTACCTCTTAATCTCTAACCCTCTACCTCGAGTATCTCTTGGGACTTATATAGAGTGAACGTTATTGTAAAATAAAGTAAATAACGTGGAAACTGTTACTAAGACAGTTAGTAGAATTTTTTCTCCATTAGCCATCCTCCTAATAGTAAGGTATTACTATACAGTAAAATTTACGACATTCTAGTGAATTTGGAGAAGGTGACGACGACGTGAAAAGTAAAGATAGCGGTCCGAGTTCAAATTCTGAGTCTGTTGCGTTCACTGCGTACTAATATCATTGGAAAATGTAAGGGTCTATCTCATATCCCCCCATATTTGGGTTAAATAACAGGATAGACGAGACTCTCTGCAGATCTTTTACAGAAGGATACTGAGGAAACCTGTGAGCAATTCGGATATTTTAATAAATATGGAAACGAAAATAACATTGCACGAACTTGTTATGTTGCACGCTTGCTTTCAATGTGACCTGTGAGTGTCAAATTCTCCAAGTCCTCTATCCTCATTATGCGTCCCCCCAAATCACCGAACATATTGAAAATACGAGGGGTAGGATAAAACATCGAGTAACCTACCCAACGAGCTTGTGTGAACAGAACAGAGAAATAAAAGGACTGGGGGATAGTAACAAGGCAAACACTTGAAGAGCGAAAGATACCACCGAAAAGTTAAGCAAAGTATAAAGAAACGGGAAATTTTTGTTAGAAACAAGGAAAAGAATGCCAAACTGCTGTGTAATATAAATCTTTCGTTATGATGTTGAATGAGCAACTCCTCACCGATGAAATGGAAACTTGAGGCAACAGAGCTGTGGTTCTACAGAAGGATACTGAGAATAACATGGACTGGACATGTGAGTAATGTGGAAGTTTTAGGAGATAATGAAAGCAAAAAGAACTCATGCTTAGAATCATAAAAAGCCAATTGCCATTTTTGGGACACTCAATGAAGAAAGAAGGCTTCGAGAATTTGACATTCACAAGGCACATTGAAAGAAAGAGTAACATACCTAATCTTGTGTAAATGGAAGGCTAGGATGTATATTAAGAGACAACTTACGTTGAGCTAAAAAAGGGCAAGAAGCTATGGAGGACTATGATTGTCCACATCCTGAAGAGAGATTTTACCTAAAAGAAAATTGAGTCTTTGAGGCTTTGGTGGTAGAAGAAGGAACATTCTGAATTTCAAAAGGAAGCTGTGAAGAACCATGATCATCTACTTTCTGAAGGGACATGGCATTTAAATCGTCTGCTCGAAGAGACGCCTAAGCATTGATTAGGTATATTGCTAAAAGTGTGGAGCACGTAATTAAGAATTAGGAATGAATAGTCGTGATGGTGTACGAGCTTGGCACGTTAACCATTACCTCGCGGTGAGTTGCCCATAAATACTTTGGAATGAACTAAGTATTAAAAAAACTTTTCTATTTCATCCGCTTTTTCAATTTAAGCCGGCCTTGTGTCTTGCTTTGAAACGCTTAAAATTTGGCGTCTTTTTCATCAGACTATGCTGTTTTTTTTAGCAATCTCATGAAGGTACCTACTTAAAAATATCTGTCTTTTATTTTACAGTAAATAAATGAAAACTAAAGACGCGGTCGATGCTTAAAGCTTAGGAAATAAATAAAAAAAAACTGATGTAAGTCGAGCCTTCCTTTCCGTTTCTCAAACAAATTTTATCCTCTGAAAAATAGATCTGCAGAATATAAAGAGAAGCTGTTTTTAAATAAAGGCAGAGAAAAATAATCTCTGGTGTTTTAAAATTCGATTATCAATGGATCAATTGGCTCAGCCCGTTTTACGATATAAGCTGGTGGGTGGACCCTTCAATAGAATCATCAAAACGGGGAACAAGGAAGAGAGGACGCGAATTGACGAGAAGGAATTTGTAGTTTTACAGCTTCGTTTTCTTCTCGTCTTCGATTTCGCATTGCTTTGATTGAGCGTTTAGCTTATGCAAACGAATATGGCGGATAAGCGTCAGCCCGCCATATTGAAACCTTTTGCTTTCTCTCGATGCTCTTTTGTTGTGGTATTTTAACGATCTGACTACAGACAACAGTAAATAAAAACTTAATTGATATTCTTTCAATTTAACCAATTTTTCTCTCGTCTTTCCTTATGTTTGGTTATTACTCACGCGCGAGCGCACACACACACATACATATATATATATTAGTTTACTGTTTAAACGTTATTTTTAAATGGATACTCATATTTGAGTAGATGCTGCGTTTTTTAAAAACAGAACATTTACTCAAATAAGAATATCCATTAAAAATTACGTTTAAGCAATAAATTACATTATGTCGGATTAGTCATGGTGAAGTAATGGATAGTGGCTTGGATTAAGGAATCAGAGAGCCGAGTTCGAATTCCATTCGAATCCATTACATTCACTTACGTGCTTAGGAAAGGCATGAAATCCTCTTCTCCCTCCTGCTACGAGTAAATAGCTGGAAAGACCGAGTTCTATAGCCTGGGATGGCAACTGGTCTACCACAGAAAGAAAGGACAACCTACTGCGGGAAAAAATATCTGCCTTGTCAGTCATGTATCGAAAGATACATGATCGCCTAAGCGCGTATCACGCATGGCACATAACTGACTGATGTCGGATTAATAAATGAAAAATCCATTCCTAAATATATATATATATATATATATGTGTGTGTGTATATGATTCTTGTATTGTATCTTGACGGTCCGCGTTCGATTCTCGGTAGTGAATGATTATTAAAATATAAAATCTGTCACTTAGCTGATTGAGTACTCCAGAATTTTGTAGACGAAACTTTTGTGCAATCATTGAGTCCACTCGCCAGGAGGTATCAGCAATTGTCTGCTGTTTTCCTCATATTCGTTATTTTGTTATTTTTATATTAAGTTAAGAAAATAATGCATTTATATATATATATATATATATATATATATATATATATATATATATATATATATATATATATTCTATTTCTGGTGGTGACACTTTTTCTAGTTATTCATAACAGGCCTCCAAAAGCAACTTCTTTCGGTGAGACGCTCAATCTAGAGTATTAGAAGCTGGATCTAGCATAGGATTATGTTTGCTTTAATTTCGGGTGAAAATAAATTGTTCAACATTTGGATATTTTTTATCAAGTTGGTCCTTGATCTAAGCTTTCGGTTCAGGATGGTTACACGGACATTTAAACCAAGATATTCACCATCGAAGATGATATTTTGTTATGTTGGCATAGAAGATGTCTATTCGACTATAATGGTCGCGGAATAGCAGACTGAGGTGGTAAATTCATACCACGCAAAAGGCTGAAATATTAACAGAACCATGTGTCTAGATTCAATGTAATGTATTGTGACTAGTTTAAAATGTAATTTTGTTGAGTGTCCGTTGCTTTGTTTTAATGCAGATGGCTCCAATATCTGAAGGTTCTTTTTCAATGTGTATATCTGAGAATTATTGCGTTATCAACTAATAACAGCAAATGAAAAAATAACTGCAAAGAAGTATTGTGACCAACTCACCAATTTTCAATGCAGCTATTCAAGAAAAAAAGGCCGATTTTGGCAAATCGAAAAGGCGTTATTTTCCGCTAGAACAACACAAGTCCGCATGTTGCAAAACAGAGCATTCATGAGTGGTGAAACGGGGAACCCATCGTATTCTTCTGATGTGTCGCTTTCGGATTTTCAATTGTCCCGATCTCTACAGAACAATTTCAATTACAAAAAATTTGACTCTGTAGAATCAGTTGAAAAATACCTTACAACGTTCTTCCATCAAAAATACAAAGTTTCCACGAAAATGACATCAACAAGTTTGTAGAACGATAGGAGAGAGTTGTTAAACCTCTTAACGAAGAGTCTTGCATCAGCAGTAGTAATATCAGCAGTAGTAATAGTCACTGTTTACAAAAATCTTTTCTCCCCGAAGAGCTCAACCGAAATAATTTTTCAAGAGCATATACAGTCATCCACGGACAGACTGCTTCGCAGCTCATAAGTGTGGCTAGACATCCGATTGCCTCAAGCCCGGACTGAAACCCGACTGATTTTGTAGCAATCGGAGATTCTACCCTTAAGTCATTGGCGCACGGCAGGGATGAAGGTGAATTTAGACCTATTTATTTTTCGACAAGCACGCATCGGAGAACTCGATTCGTCTTAACGAAGAGCCTTGCATCAGCAGCGGTAATAGTCACTGTTTACAAATTCACTTTTCTCCCCGAGGAGCACAACCGAAAATATGCATAAAATAAAAATGATTGCAATTAATAATAGTAAATAATACGCACAAAATTATATCATTAATTTATATTTTAATAGAACAACATTTCTGGTTATAAGGTACTCAATATTATGAGACGAGAGAAACAATTATTATTGAAATAGAAGAGAAGTGAAAATGTTCAATACAAGAATTCTAGACAAGAATTATTGCACTGATTACAGAAAATCTATTTTATAAACTATTATTATAGTTAGTGTACAAATATGCGTTTATAAGATAAATTGGGATCGATGCAAGTGTTCTTGTTGAGAATCTCGATGAGGCATTAAAATCTTATGATACTTTGAGTTGACCTCTGATAAGTATTGAACGTTTTATTTTCTATTATATAGGTATCTTCAAAAAAAAAGTGATACCTAAGTTTTAAAATGCATTTTAAAAATGAAAAAGTTTCTTTCGTTTTTGTTTTGTTACTTTTTTTTTTGTCTTGGAAAAGATCAAACACACAAACAACTAGCGAATAAAACGAAACAGTAATAAAACAAGAAAGTAAATCACGCGAGAAAAAAGTAACAAAAAAAATGAAGAAACAAAGAAACAGTCAAACACATAAACAAGGAGAGAAAAAAAACGAGAGTAATTAAAGAAAGAAAGAAGGACCCTGCTAGAAGAAAGTCACAAAACAATGAAGAAAAAAAAAGAAGAAAGAAACAATCAAGTACACAAACGTGCGAGAAAAAGAAACATTAATAAAACACGAAATTAAAAAGAAACCACGCCAGAAAAAAAGGAACAAAACAATTAAGAACGAACGCTAGAAAAAACGAATAATTAATAAAACAAGAAAGAAAGAAAAAAAAGAAAGACGCTATAAATAAAACCAAACGAAAAATTAAAAAATGCGAATAAGGAGAAAAAAAAGGAAGAACCAGGAATATAATATAAAGTTGATTAAAGCGCTTCTTTTGTAGAAAATGAAAAACGGCTGGAAGTAGAAAAAAGTGTAAAAGAGAAAGAAATGAAGACAAAATTATTTGTAGTGTCGGTTCCTTTCATTTTGGTGCAATGTTTCTTCTTTCTTTCTTCACACACACACACACACACACACACACACACACACACACACACACACACACAGAGAGAGAGAGAGAGAGCATAAGAGGAAAAAGAAAGAAACAGCGCGATAAAAAGTAACAAAAAAGAAAGAAAGTACAAACATCTTTTTGCGAATTTTCTCGCCTGGTTCTTTTCTTTCTTTCTTTCTTTCTTTCTTTCTTTCTTTCTCAGTTTTCCTATTTACATTCTTTCTTTCTTTCTTTATTGTTTTCTTATGTTCTTTCTCATATGTTTTCTTCGTTCTTTTTCTTTCTTTGTACTTTCTTTCTTTTTCGTTACTTTTTCTTTTGTCTCTTGTCTTTTCTTTCTTTCTTTTTAGTTAACTTTCTTTTTCCTCTCGCAGTTTCTTTCATTTTTGTTACTTTTTCTTTGTTCCCTTGTCCTTTCTTTCTTTCTTTCTTTCTTTCTTTCTTTCTTTCATGTGGGCTTCTCTTTCTTTCATCCTTTTTTGTTGTGGGTACGCATGTTCTTTTTCTTTCTTTCTTTCTTTCTTTCTTTCTTTCTTTTTTCTTTCTTTCTTTCTTTCTTTCTTTCTTTCTTTCTTTCTTTCATGTGGGCTTCTCTTTCTTTCATCCTTTTTTGTTGTGGGTACGTTTGTTCTTTTTCTTTCTTTCTTTCTTTCTTTCTTTTTTCTTTCTTTCTTTCTTTCTTTCTTTCTTTCATGTGGGCTTCTCTTTCTTTCATCCTTTTTTGTTGTGGGTACGTTTGTTCTTTTTCTTTCTTTCTTTCTTTTTTTCTTTCTTTCTTTCTTTCTTTCTTTCTTTCATGTGGGCTTCTCTTTCTTTCATCCTTTTTTGTTGTGGGTACGTCTGTTCTTTTTTTCTTTCTTTCTTTCTTTCTTTCTTTCATGTGGGCTTCTCTTTCTTTCATCCCTTTTTTGTTGTGGGTACGTCTGTTCTTTCTCTTTCTTTCTTTCTTTCTTTCTTTCTTTCTTTCATGTGGGCTTCTCTTTCTTTCATCCTTTTTTGTTGTGGGTACGTCTGTTCTTTCTTTCTTTCTTTCTTTCTTTCTTTCATGTGGGCTTCTCTTTCTTTCATCCTTTTTTTGTTGTGGTTACGTCTGTTCTTTTTCTTTCTTTCTTTCTTTCTTTCTTTCTTTCTTTCTTTCTTTCTTTGATATCTTTTCATTTCTTATTCTTTTCTGTTTCATCTTTTCCTTTACATTTTTCCTTCTGTGATTTTTTTCAGAAAATTTGTTTTCTATTTTTTTTTTCTCTCTTATCTTTTCTCATCTTTATCGATGACAAAACATTCAACAATCTGCTCGTCTAACATTTTTTCCCACCTATCATCTTTTTTCGCCAACAAATCTCGTCTGAACGTGATTTTATCCTTCCCGAAATTGCTACATTATAAGTACTTTCTTTTTATCAACTGTTCTTTTTCCCCCCATTATTCTTTTTATTGCTTCAAAGTTTTTTTTATTTGTTTTCAACATATTTTTCGAAAGCTTTTCTTTTTTATCCCGATCGTTTAAAAATTGCAACGGCATTTATTGGTTGTGTTTTTCTTTTTACATTCATTGATTTATTTTTTGTCATCTTCATTGTGACCAAAATATTTTCTTTCTTTCTTTCATCGATTTCCTTATTAACGAATCCTTCTTTCTTTCTTTTTTTTACAGTAAGGTTCACTCTGTATTAGATCCGGGGGTCACTCGAGGTCGAGGTTTACAGAATAAGAATTACAGTTGGATATGTGAAGAAGATAAGGGTTAACCCTAGCCTTGAACAGGTTAAGTGTGTAGTGATCAGTAAAACGTCCTCTTGGGAGTCGGTTCCACAGAGCCGTGGTTCGCGTGAAGATGCTGCTCGAGTGGAACTTACTTCTTCACCAATGGTTACTTATTACCGAATGCTTCTTTCTTTCTTTCTTGTTTATTTTTCGTTCTTTCATAAAATATTTTCTTCTTTCTTTCTTAAACTACTTTAATCTGTCATTTTGTGAATGTTTATTTCCTAAATTATTTTCTTACTCTTTCTTTCTTACTTTTATTTTCATTCCTTCGTTCCTTCTTTCTTTCTTTCCTTCTTATTTTATTTATCCTACATCCCCTCTTATTTTATTTTCTTTCCTTCGTTTTTTTCTTACATTTTTCTTTCTTTCTTTCTTTCTTTCTTTAATTTTTTTTTCTTTTTTGCTTTCTTATTTTATTTATCCTACTTTCCCTCTCATTTTATTTTCTTTCTTTCTTTCTTTCTTTCTTTCTTTCTTTCTTTCTTTCTTTAGATGTTTTTTCTTTTTTGATTTCTTTCTTATTTTATTTATCCTACATTCCCTCTTATTTTATTTTCTTTCCTTCGTTTTTTTACATTTTTCTTTCTTTCTTTCTTTCTTTCTTTAAATTTTTTTCTTTTTTGCTTTCTTATTTTATTTATCCTACTTTCCCTCTCATTTTATTTTCTTTCTTTCTTTCTTTCTTTCTTTCTTTCTTTCTTTCTTTCTTTCTTTCTTTAGATGTTTTTTCTTTTTTGCTTTCTTTCTTATTTTATTTATCCTACTTTCCCTCTCATTTTATTTTCTTTCTTTCTTTCTTTCTTTCTTTAGATGTTTTTTCTTTTTTGCTTTCTTTCTTATTTCATTTATCCTACTTTCCCTCTCATTTTATTTTCTTTCTTTCTTTCTTTCTTTCTTTCTTTCTTTCTTTCTTTCTTTAGATGTTTTTTCTTTCTTGCTTTCTTTCTTATTTTATTTATCCTACTTTCCCTCTCATTTTATTTTCTTTCTTTCTTTCTTTCTTTCTTTCTTTAGATGTTTTTTCTTTTTTGCTTTCTTTCTTATTTTATTTATCCTACTTTCCCTCTCATTTTATTTTCTTTCTTTCTTTCTTTCTTTAGATGTTTTTTCTTTTTTGCTTTTTTTCTTATTTTATTTATCCTACTTTCCCTCTCATTTTATTTTCTTTCTTTCTTTCTTTCTTTCTTTAGATGTTTTTTCTTTTTTGCTTTCTTTCTTATTTCATTTATTCTACTTTCCCTCTCATTTTATTTTCTTTCTTTCTTTCTTTCTTTCTTTCTTTCTTTCTTTCTTTCTTTCTTTCTTTCTTTCTTAAGATCTTTTTTCTTTCTTGCTTTCTTTCTTATTTTATTTATCCTACTTTCCCTCTCATTTTATTTTCTTTCTTTCTTTCTTTCTTTCTTTCTTTCTTTCTTTCTTAAGATTTTTTTTCTTTCTTGCTTTCTTTCTTATTTTGTTAATCCGACTTTCTTTCTCATTTTATTTGTCTTTCTTTTTCATTTTTCTTTTTTCTTTCTTTCTTAAGATATTTTACTTTCTTTCTTAACTTATTTTGCTGATCTTACTTTCTTTCTTTTTCTATTTGTCATTATTTATTTTTTCTTTCTTTCTTTTTAAAGGTGTTTTATTTTACTTTCTTGTTTCCTTCTTTCTTTCTCATTTTATTTACCTTTCTTTCTTTCTTTCTCCATTTATAATTCTTCATTAACCCCACCCTTCTTTCCCGAGCCTTCTTTCCAATCCTCTTTTGTTTTATCCCTGCAAAGTCTTCTCAGCGTTCCTTGATCTTCCTTCCGAGCATCTTCCTTTCCGTTAAATCCTTATCGAGTCCCTCCGGCCCCTGACGTCCGTTTTTGTTTCTTCAACTAAAATGCTCGATTCGACTTCATTCAAATCGTTGCTTCGATTTTCTTTCACACTGGGAATATTTCATTAAATCGCCGACATTTTTGTCTCGACGACCTAACTCCACCCTGAAACACCGCCATGTTTGTTTAAGTTACCAGTTTGCTATTCCGTTTCAACATCTTCTTTCTTTCTTTTCCTATTCATCTTTTTTCCCTCTTCTTTTTTCTTATTTCTCTATACTGGATTTGCTAGCTTATCAGTAATTTAAAACAAAAATCCAATCATTTTATATTCCTCTAAAAGGAAAACTTATCTTAGCCGTTTCGTCCTCTGATGGACTTTGCAAGGATTTTATTTTGTAACAAATGAAAGGCATTTGAAATATCGCCACGATTAGACTAACATGAATCATTTTTAATAACGTTGTATATTCATGGATTCATCTGGCACTGTCTGTAGGTATAGATAAGATTGTTCTAGTTCCACGTGCCATGCTTCTTTCGGGTGCCTCAGTTATCTCCCTTTAACTCAACTCTCCAATCACTTTTATTACCCAAGTACTTTCGATCTCTTTCTGAGATCATCATCATGGATGCAACTAGTAAGGCAAAAACTATGTGTAGCTATCCATTAGAGATGCTTTTTATTTTCTTTTTTTTTTGCGTTTAAATGCAACGACTGGCAGTTTTCCGTTAGCGTTCATTAGAACGTGAAAAATTATCCACTATGGATTTTTTTCTTTTATGTCACGGTCGAGCGCGCATTAAAGCGTGGAAACTGCTCTTTTTTATAGGCATTTTAGAACTCTATTACAGTATTTGTAGCTGATTCTATTCAGTGTCGGCTTCAAGTTCTTAATGTAGATTAAGATCAAAAATTCTATACTTGTTAAAAGTTTCTCAAGGAACGAAACGCGTTGGCAAAAAAGGTTCTTGTCGTCATTTCTCTACATTACAATGAACATATTCGATTTGTATAATGTAATTTCATACTGCCAACTATATTTCTAAAGAAGAGGTGGAGCTTGCATTTATTAATCCAACAGACATTTAACATTTTAAACATCATTTTTAGTGGATATTTGAATAGACGCTCCGGCCTTCTTAAGATGATTGGAATTCCGAATTAAAGCCTTTATTTCGTCCACCGTAGCAGATTGTTCTAGTTCCACGTGCCATGCCTCTTCCGAATGTTCCAGTATCAGTTACCTCCCTTTAATTCAACTCTCCAGGTTTTTTTTTGTTTTTTGGTAAATCGTTGGTTGAATCCAGTAACTTCACCCAAAGAGTTATGAGTTCAATTCCTGTGTACAGCTGAGGTGAACAAAAATTCTTGGAGAGTTAAATTACAGGGAGATAAGAGATACTGGGACATCTGGAATAGGTATGGCGCAGGAAACTAGAAAATATTTACCTCGGTGGACGAAATAAAGCGTCAAGTTCGAAATTCCACCTGAAGAAGGATGGAGCGTAGAACGGCCGAAATGTCCTGAATATGGCAACAAAGATGAGGACAACAGTCCGAACAATGTAAATAGTGTAATTATATTTATTTATTTTCATCTACCAGCCTGAATATTCGAGATATCTTATTAAAGAAAAATATGTGCCGTCTGGCAGGAATAAATCTTCGTTAGAGCAGACGTGCTGACTCAGCCACGAAGGACATTTGCCGATCAAGCAATTTTGAATAATGCCTTTAAGAAAAATCCTTCTCGTCATAGACTCTCGAAATTTCATATCTGCTCGGTTTGGTATTGAAACGTAAAGAAATAATTCAAATATGAGTCTACACCAGGGGTCGCCAAACTTTTTTCACAGAAGGCCAGATAATTGAGGGAATGACGAGCGGTGGCCAGATTACCATTTTGTTCAATATTCACTGAATGAGCAAAAAAATAAAGACAACAAACGTACTTATTTACTAAAAAGTCATCCAAGAAGCCGACACTAATAGTTATATTACACTAAGTACACACATATCCGAATCTCAAAAACTAAGCAGCACAAAAGGTTAGTAAGATTTGTGAAATTGGCGTTTATCTTTTAATATATAATTAATATTTCTTTTGGTATTGCTGCATCCAACCAAGAGAAATGCTTTCAAATGTTCATCAGACAATCTCGTTACATGTGCTGACTTTACATATTTTAGATTTTATAATAAGTTCAAGCAAAATATATGACGTCAGTCTTTATATATATATATATATATATATATATATATATATATATATATATATATATATATATATATATATATGGCACTCTTCAAACCGGTTTAAACATGGCAATGCAAGTTAAAACATAATTGCTGCAGCAGGCTCGTAATCGCTTTTCTTAGAAACTTCATTACAGGTACTTACACAAAAAAGCGCTCGGATAATTCACTGATTTTTCTGAAACTTATATTACTGTCAGATGCAAAAATCAGATTGGCCCAATTTTTGCATTTTACTTACATTTATTTTAATTTGTTCTACATAGAAAGTTTAACTACAATCTATTGACAATTCCATATAAATATTTATATTTTAGCTCATTTGTGGCACAGTGAAGTGGCGAGCTGGATGAACTGTCGCCGGGATCGGATCCAGTCCTCGGGCCGTAGTTGGGTGACCCGTGGTCTACAGGTAGAGATAAGTGACATTGTTCACCGTATGATAAGTGATAATGTTCACCGTATAGAAAGCCCAAGAGCCACTCAAGATAGAGAGTTAATGTGTAGTGTTGTATTAGTGTAAGAAAGAGCATCTACGTAAGTTCTTGTAGCGACACAAATCCTGATATCCAATCAAGGTAGAGGGTTAATATGTGGTGTTGTATTAACGTTAGAAAGAGCATCTACTGAAGTTCTTGTGGTGATACAAGGCCCGATAGCCACTCAAGGTAGAGGGTTAATATGTGGTGTTGTATTAATGTAAGAAAGAGGATCTACTGAAGTTCTTGTGGTGATACAAGGACCGATAGCCACTCAAGGTAGAGGGTTACTGTGTGGTGTTGTATTAACGTAAGAAAGAGCATCTACTGAAGTTCTTGTGGTGATACAAGGCCCGATAGCCACTCAAGGTAGAGGGTTACTGTGTGGTGTTGTATTAACGTAAGAAAGAGCATCTACTGAAGTTCTTGTGGTGATACAAGGCCCGATAGCCACTCAAGGTAGAGGGTTAGTGTGGTGCTGTATTAATGTAAGAAAGAACATCTACTGAAGTTCTTGTGGTGATACAAGGCCCGATAGCCACTCAAAGTAGAGGGTTACTGTGTGGTGTTGTATTAATGTAAGAAAGAGCATCTACTGAAGTTCTTGTGGTGATACAAGGCCCGATAGCCACTCAAGGTAGAGGGTTACTGTGTGGTGTTGTATTAACGTAAGAAAGAGCATCTACTGAAGTTCTTGTGGTGATACAAGGCCCGATAGCCACTCAAGGTAGAAGGTTACTGTTTGGTGTTGTATTAATATAAGAAAGGGCATGTATTGAAGTTCTTGTGTCGGTACAGAAAAGATAACAGCCAATTCTAGACTTGAAGAGGTCAGGATTTAATTAGTGAATAAAATTTTAGATTATAGACTGGGTCGTAAGAGGTATAGAGTTGAAATAGAGTATAGAAGGAATCGTAAACCTAATCCTAAACAGGAAACAAGAGATAAACATCTGTTCAGAAAACTGGGAGGAGTATGAACCGGACGATAGGTGAATCTATTTACTCCTCTTGAGATACAAATAAATACATAAACAAAAAATAGTAAATAAAATTTCAGAGATTAGGCGGAGACGTTAAAAGTATAGATTTGAAGTTGACTCAAGAAGGAACCGGAAAGCCAATTTAAAACCGAAAAAAGGGATAAACCTGTACTCCTGTTCAAAAGACCGGGGAAGAATATCAAGCGAACGAAAGGTGAAACTATTTACTCCTATTGAGGAAGAAAAATAGTAAATAATAGTTCAGAGTTTAGACAGGGATGTTAGAAGTATAGAGTTGAAGTAGATTTTAGAAGCATCCGGAAACCCAATCTTAAGCAGAAAACAAGGGATAAACCTGTACTCCTGTTCAAAAGACCAGTGAAGGATGCCAACAGGATGAAAAGTGAACCTATTTACTCCTAGTGAATTTGTGAAAAATGACAATGTTTTAGAGAAAATGGAAACAAAAAGGAAACTTATACTTAACATTAGAGAGGATTTAAATTTCTTGGCTATAAAATGAGGAAAGAGGGCTTGGAAAATTTGATACTCACAGAACAGATTGAAGGCAAGAGGGACAGAGGAAAGCAATGCATAATGCACTTAATGAGTAAATGGATGGCGGAACAGGATTTGGGAGAAATAACAGAAAGAGAATATTTATTTACATTGTTCGGACTATTGTCTTCATTTTTGTTGTCATGTTCATATAACAGAAAGAGAAAGTGCATTAAGAGCTAGAAGGGAGAGGATGTTGTGGAGAACCATAATCGCCTACCTACGTCCTGAGGGGACACGGCACATGAAGAAGAAAGAAGACGTTTTGTGTGATTTTCAGATGCGTTATTATGATCCCAGTTGATCTCCGGACTATTGATCACATTCTTTTTG